CACATATATCTGATGGTCTTAGGAACCAATACACCACTCCTCTACCTGACACCCCATTTGCACTTGGCAGAATCCCATTCACAGTCAAAATTGAAGATGTTCCTGAGACAGCACAAGAGGAGTTCATTGAACTGATTAACAGCAATACAGCAAGAATAGATTTCTCTACAATGCCAGCTACAAAATTCTGGATCAAGTGTTTGCAATCATATCCTGTTCTGTCTGAGACCATGTTGTGCCTCCTTCCATTTTCAACAGCATCGCTTTGTGAAACAGGGTTTTCCAGCTTGTTGGTTATCAAGTCTGAATACAGAAGTAGACTTGTGGAAGATCTGCCTTGTGCTATTGTAAAGACTGCCCCGAGAATTTCTGAGCTGGTGAGAAAGAAGCTATCGCAACCTTCACACTGATGGCTTTTTACACATACTGTCACAAAATGGAGCAATGTAGTTTACTGTTGTTATATTAAGACTATTACCCATGCTATACCATGTTTCAAGACAAATTTTCATTTATTTATCATTAGAAATACATATTTCACAGTATATAATTATATACTATTTTTGTGATTACTCACTATGCTTTAATGATGTGCAATTTGTAACAATGAAAATACATCCTGCGTATCAGATAGTTACATTGTGATTCATAACAGTAGCAAAATGACAGTTTTGAAGTAGCAAGGGAAATAATGTTATAGTTGGGGGTCCCCACCACATAGGAACTCTATGACAGGGCTGCAGCCTGAGGAAGGTGGAGAAGCCCTGTTCTAGATCCTAAGCAATCAGGGATGTTGTTGTTTGATGCCATCCATTGGGCCTAGTTCATCGAGACCCCATGTACAGTAGTGTAACACTGCCAGGTCCTGCGCCATCCTCACAATTGATCTCATGTTTGAGCCCATTACTGCAGCCACTGTGTCAGCCCATCTTGGGGAAGTCTTTCTCTTTGTGGCTGCCCCACTACCAAACAGGGTATCCTTCTTCAGGGACTGGTTCCACAATATGTGAGATGACATTCCAGAATCACTAATTGTGCACTTGTAGAAATAAATAGAGAGGCAGTTGTTTTAAAGAACAATAAGATAATGTGTGATTTAAAGTAGGGAATGACTGTATTCTTTTAATTTATGTGGACACAAAAATCCTAGAAAATGGCCTATGTGAAAAAGAATCTTGCATTGGGATTTGGAGGGAAGATCATTAACACTCTGCAGCATAAGGATGACAATGTTCCTTGCTGAAAGGGAAGAGAACTCACTGATAGTGTATGTCACAGTACAAGAAAAAAGAAAACAAAGCTCTTTACAAGTGGACCCGTAAACCTCAGTATAAGTACAGAAAAATTGCAGCTGTCTAGGATTTCATTTTAATGGGACCCACAACCAGTGCTCATGGAAGCAGCAGCCAACAAATCAAGTGAAATAATGCATTGAGCACATCTGCAAAGGACCTATGAGTGAGTACCGACCCCCCCCCCCCTGCAAGCAGGACAAAAGCTCTGCTGATGTGAGGGGGACAGATAGTGCATTTAGAGGTCATTTCACCAGGTTAGGCCATTAGTCAAGCTTTCTATTTAAAGGTTCTGAAAATATTGCATAACAGTGTGCGACAAAAAAGGCCTGCTTTGTGGCAGAGGGGGGTTTTACCACCACGACAATGCACCTGCTCGTGCAGCCATCTCAGTGCACCAGTTGTTGGCAAAAAACAGTATGCCTTTCTTGCCCCATGCACCTGTGCAGCTTCTTTTTGTTTCCGCAAATACAGAGGGATATGAAAGGATAGTTATTTGCTAACTTAGACGAGGTGAAGAAAAAAAAATGAGGAGGTGCTGTCAGACATCCAAATAGATGAGTTTGAAAACTGTTTCCAAGAATGGAATAGTGAATTTGACAAATGTATTAAGTGTAATGGAGAATGCTTTAAAGGTGATAAGGTTGTTTCATAAAAAAATTTCAAATGCATATCTTTGGGGGGGGAAATTCTAGGTTTTTTGGGTACTCTCATATTTACAGTGTTAAGCTGCAAAGGTGTCACTTTGAAGACTAATTCATGCCCAGCCCACTCCAAGGCAATTTCAGTTGCCTCATATGCATGTGAAAGCCAAATCATGAATGAAGAAGATACCTGAAGAATGAATGGGTTTGAATTCTGAACAATGTTGAATATACCATGACTACCAGAAGAACAAACATCTGTCTTGGCAGAAGTACATCCAGGAGGGTGCTCCTTAGGAGCAAGGACAGAGGGGCTTCATGCCACATGCTTTGGACTTGTTATCCAGGGGGATCAGTCCCTGGAGAAGGACATTGTAATTAGTAGAGGGTCAATCAAAAATAGGAAGGCCCTCAATGAGATGGCTTGGCCTAGTGCCTGCAGACATGGGCTTATACGTAGCACAGACTGAGACTAGCACAGGACTGAACAGCGTGTTATTCAGTTGTATGTATGGTCACCTTGAACTAAAAGCAGCATGAGGTTGCTTAGCAACAACAACAGCAGCTCGCCTGTAGAGTTTACTTTTGTCAACCAAACTTTTAGTTTCAGATTTTTATGGATTTATATTTTTAAGAAAATTTACAAAATGTTTGGGGTCCTGCTCTAAGTCATCATCTCTCTATTTCAAAGGCGGTTCTTAGTTTCCCACCATGTAAAAGAGTTTTCATCTGGATTATTATTTTTATTTTGCAAGGGAAAAGCACAGTGATATGGTTTAGTGTTAGATGTCTGTGGTTTGTGCTAACGCTTTCAGAACTCTTACTTTACCGTTTGTATTCTTTGAGTGTCCTATTCTTTAGGAAAAACGAATAGACCATTCTGAGAATATAGGAAAGAAAAATGACATTATGTTTTCTGAAATTTGTAATAGTAGATGATCTACTCGTAATCAAAATTCCTGGCATATCATAGACACCAGGTAATTATTCGTTGAGTGAACATGTACCATTTTAAAGGTAAGCTAGACCTTGAGAAAATGATCTGACCTACTTCATTAATCTTATTGACGCTAGCATTCATTGGATTTTCATAAAATGTCAGGCACTTTCAAAACATTGTGACTCTCTTACACATGAGGTATTTCAAGCAGGGAGGATCAGTAACGCATCTGAGATCACAAAATGCGTAATAGCAGATCTACCCTGAGATGGGGCTCTCGTCTCCTAATTACTTACCAAGTATCATCTATGCGCTAGGACTGAGTCTAAACAAATCACCTCCTGTTGGCATGTCAGGCTATCGTAAGGAAGACTCTGGTCAGATGTTCTTTGTGATGAGGTTTAGGTGGGCTGTACTTTCTGTGTGTGCGTGATTTGAAGGCCCTTAGGGGGACCTGGTGGGCTGTGAGCCTCAAGGTCAGTAGTTCCCCATCACCACATATTTTAGTATGCAAATCACCAATATCCATTAGAACGGCACTTTCTACTCCAAACAGTTACAGTCTCAGGAACTCAAAATGGCTGGTTCTGCCCTGTCCCGTAGCGATCCTGGTGGCATAGGGGTTACACGTGGGGGTGCCAGCCTCACGGTTGGCCATTCAGAACCACCAGCAAGCACCAGCAGCTTTGCTGGAGAAAGGCTGGGATTTCTACTCCCATCAAACTGTGGCTTTCCAGTCTTGGAAACCCACAGGGGCTCGCTATGAGTCCGCTTTGACGCGATGGCAGTGAGTTTGGAGTTCAAGTTGACATTGACTCGATGGTAATGAATTTCGTTTGGCTCGAAGCTAGCAATATTTAAAACCAAAACAAAAATAAACAAAGTACATAACATTTAAAGTATCCTTTTTGTGGGCAGTATCGATAAAACATTTCATTTTGCTTTGGCATTATGGGGATTTTAGTCCAACACATTTGGCAGTCCAGTCACTTAATTAAATTCCTTTAGGTATTAATTTGGTTGCCTATTACTCTGATGCCATTAAGAAGTGAAGATGCTGTGGTAGTGTCTCTCTTTTCTGAGCTTATAGTAACCAGACTGCATTCAGGCTCTTTCGTTTATTCTTTGTCTTCCCTGTTTTCTTTTCTCTGTAAGTGGAAAAAACATTTCATGCTGTTAATACAAAAATCATATTACACCAGTAATGAAAATTGATGGAAGCTTATTGAAGATAAGATTGGAAAATTGGATAACATTTTGACTAGGAAATTACAAAGAAAACTGATAAATTAGTTTGCGGCCAGGAAGGATTTCATCCAGTATTGTCTTTAAGAACAATGGTTTAGATTAAAACATAGTTCTAGTCTGACCTTCAGTGTGTCTCATTTCTGAAATGGATGGATTTTTTTTTTCAAAAGGGCACAATCTCTAAGGCAAAATGGTATTAAGCTTTTATCGAGATCATTGTTTGACTTTAAGGTGACTTTTACAAACCAGTTTCTTCAAAAAGACACCTAAGGGCAGTGGCCCGAGTAGATCACTCCTGGTGCATGATGCAGGGGGTTCAAGCTGCTTCTCCATAGTTAACGAAAACCTATGTGCGCCTGATGCCTGTACTAGAATGGATATTGGAGATTTGCATACTAAAAAATGGTTTTATATGAAAGTCTGCTTGCCTATTTGTCTTGCTTGCTCTTTTTTAGTAAGTACATTTTGTTAGAAAAATGTTATGGGTGAAAATTTAGTTTATATATATCACTTTCAAGATGTCTGGCTATCCTTTTGTTTAATTAAAATCCTTGGGCTCAGTAGTATCCAAATCCTGCTAGCTTGTTTAGACGCACTATCTACCACTTCCTGGAAAGATGTGAGAGAGGTTCAATCTTGAAATATCTCACGGTGGTGTCTGGCTGTCTATAAGGAATCCTGTTCTTTCCCCCTTCTTTTTATTGACTGAAGCTCCAAGGTCAGAGCTTTGAGGTGCTAGAGAGTATAAGTAGATTCTCCTTCCCACCCTGGTGTTTATGGATTGAGACTGGCCCTGCTTTTGAATGGGTAAAGCATAACCAAAACCATTTTATTAAAATAAACAGCAGCTCATATCTCTTCCTCTTTTGTTGACAGAGTGGAATTCAGCCTGCTCGTTCTTAGATGTGCAAAGGAAGGTCATTCCTGCCTTGTTCTTAAAGGTAAGGTCATAGTTATCAGTAAAGATGTTGGGATGTTTGTTAGCGATCATTTTGTTTTGCTCTTTGACATCCTTACTTTGTGCCATTCTGAAGTGTACTGAATGTTTTATACAGTGGATGGGATATACAATTGTTCTTTTATTTATCAGGAAGCACACACACAAGATTAGGAAATTGATATACATCAACCTGACAAAGTGGTTGCAGATTTGTTACATAATGAGAAAGCAACCCCTGCCTCTCATTTGAAATGCTGCCTTGTGCACTTGTTGTAGTCCTCAAACATTTACACATACGGTAATAACCGTTCCCAAAATGTTACTGATAGCATTATGATGATATTTTTCAGGTTAGTACAAACGAGATTACACGATTATGCTGTTTTCATGCAATTCTAATCCATTATACTATTTGGGCTGATAGTTCTAGTTGGCTTCACTCAGAGGGGAGGGCAAATGTAAAACAGGTGGCAAGGACTGCAGAGGCTCAACCTCTGGCTGGGATACTTGGTAGCCTGGCCTCTCTTAACTCCCAGGCTTTTCCCAATCAGTTTAACCTATGCATAGGTACTTTCTGTGTGCATTGCAGTGTGCAGACATTGTTCAAAATGTTTTACGTATATTCAGTTTATCTTTCACCTTAATTATATGAGAATATTAACGTTCCTACTTTATCGAAGCCTGGAAAAGCCAACAAGCATGTTTAAAGATTACTTGGTTACTTAAGTGGCAGAGTAAGTATTACATTGAAACTTCCTGATCTCTATAATCTAAGGACCTGTGGCCCTTGAATCAGTTCTCCTGGCAAACCCCAAACTCACTGCTATCAAATCGAGCTGACTCCGAGTGACCTCATAGGAGAGAATAGAACTGACCCTCTGCGTTTCCAAAACTTAGTCTTTATAGAAGCGGATAGCTGCCTCTGACTCCTGCAGAATCGCTGGTGGATTCAAACCGCTGACCTTACAGTTAGCAGCTAATGCGTAATCCACTATGCCACTCACTCACGACCATCAAGTTAATTATGATTCCAAGTGACCTTAGAGGACACAGCAGAACTGCTCCTCTGGATTGCCAAGACTACATTTTAATGGAAGCAGGCAAATTCGTCTTTCTCTTTCCGAGTAGTTGATGGGATTGGACCACTAATTTTGCAGATAGCAGCTTAATGTGTAACCCACGACGCCACTAGGGCTCCTTAATTATTCTTTAATAGAGTCTTGTTTTATCAAAGGTCAGCTTGAACTTTCAACATTCAAATGCATGGATTCTTTTCCATTCTGTCTTGTTTACTATCTAACTTTCACGTGCATATGAGACTATGGAAAATACCATGAATTGGGTCAGGACACTTTCATATTCAAAGTGATATCTTTCTTCTCAGACCCTTTAAAGAAGTCTTGTGCAGAAATTTGCCCAATACATCATGTCATTTGATTTCTTGCCTCCTGCTTTCAGGGGTGTTGATGATGGATGCACATGAAATAAAAACGTTGATGTTTCCAATATTTTCTCCATTTATCATGATGTTGCCCACTGGCCCAGTTGTGAAGACTATTGTTTTCTTTATAGTGAAGTATAGTCCACACTGAAGGATTATGCTTTCTTTGATCTTCACCACTGTGCTTCAAATCCTCTTCACTTTCAGTTGTGTCATCTGCTTATTGCAAGTTGTTAAGGAGCTTCCTTCAGTGCTTATGCAATCTTCTTCTAATGTAGTCATCTCCTCGGAGTATTTACTCGGCATATAGATTGAATAGTGTGGTAAAAGGACACAACTCTGGTGCACACTTTTCTGGACATAGAACCATGCAGTAGTGCCTTGTTCTGTTCAAATGGTGCCTCGTGGTCTGTGTACAGGGTCTACGGGGGCAAAATGAACTGTTCTGGAATTCCCATTATTTTTCATAACTTAGGATCCACATAGTCAAATGCCTTTTCACAGTCAATGAAAACCATGTTTCTTGTGTTTTCTCCTTTCAGCCAATATTCTTCTGACGTCAGTAATAATATTCCTTGTATGACATCTTCTTCGGCATCTGGTTTGAATTTCTAGTAGCTCTTTGTCAGAGTACTGCTGCAACCATTTTATAATTACCTTCAGAAAATTTTAATTGCATCTGATATTAAAAATATTGTTCAGTAATTTCTGCATTCTAGAGGATGATCTTTCCTTGGAATAAGCACAACAATGGTTTTCTTCCAAATGGCTCGTCAGGTAGCTGTATACCATTTTCTGGGCAGAGTCTAGTTAGTGTTCCAGTGCCGCATCAGTGTATTGAAACATTTCAATGGATACTCAGTCAGTTTCTAGAGTGTTGTTTTTCATGAATGCCTTGAGACAGCTTGGGCTTCTTTCTTTTATATCCCCCATTCTTGATCATTTGCTACTTTTTTGTTTTGTTTTGTTTAAATCATTTTATTGGGGGCTCGTACAACTCTTATCACAATCCATCCATCCATCCATTGTGTCAAGCACATTTGTACATATGTTGCCATCATCATTTTCAAAACATTTTCTCCCTACTTGAGCCCTGGGTATCAGCTTATTTGCCCCCTCCCCTCCCTGCCCTCCCTCATGAACCTTTGATAATTTACAAATTTTTTGTTCATGTCTTTTAAAAAAAATCATTTTATTGGGGCTCATACAACTCTTACCACAACCCACACATACATCAGTTGTGTAAAGCATACCTACTACTTCTTGAAACTGGTTGCATAGCAGCCACTGCTTTTGGGGACAGTGACTCTGGATTATTATTCCTTTAATTTTGTCTTGATGCTCTGTGCATCGTTCAATATTTCCCCCATAGAATCCTTGAGTATTGCCACTTGAGACTTTTAATCTCTTGAGCGGCCCTTTGAAATGGACTGCTCAACTCTTTTACTTCATCCTTTGTTCTATTTGTTTTCCCTTCTCTAAGTTCAAGAGCAGGTTTCAGAGTTGTGACATCCATGCTGCTTTTAATGATCTCTTGCTTTCTTATGTATGACAGTTTTGGTGTGATCCCACAAATCATACAGCCTCTGGTCGTTAGTGTTCAATGTGTATGATAGGTCTTGAGATAGTTTCATAGTTCTGATGGGGTCTACATTGGTCTTGTGGACTTGTTTTACTTTTTTTTTCAGCTTAAACATGGATTTTTACATAGATCTTTGGTAGTCGGTTCCAAAGTTGCCCTTTAGCCTTGTTTTAGCTGCTGATACTGAGCTTCTCCATCCTCTCTTCCCACAGATCTAGTCAGTTTGGTTTCGGTGTATTTCATCTGGTGGTTTTCATGTGCACACTTGCTATTTATGTTGTTAGAAAATGGCATTTGCAATGAGGATTCTATCTTGTGATCTTCAGTTTCATTTCTGACACCAGGACCATATTTTCCCATTACAGATTCGTCCTCTTTGTTTCCAATTTTTGCATTTCAGTCACAAGTAATTATCATTGCAGCTTGATTGTATGTTTGTTCAATTTCAGACCAAAAAAAAAGTTGGTAGAATTCTATAATTTCTTCATCGGTGGCTTTAGTGTATTAATTTGAATAATAGATGTGTTGTTGCTTTCCATATAGGCATATGGATATTGTCTGATCACAGACAGGATTATAATTCAAAGTATATCTTCAAATGCTCTTCTAGAAGATGAATGTGATGTCATTCCTCTTCATTTAATCATTTTTTATATAACTCACTCACTGCCATTGAGTTAATACTCACTAACAGCGACCCTACGGGACAGAGTAGAACCACCCCTACGCGTTTCCAAGACGGTAACCGCGTAAGGGAAGAGAAAGTCTCATCTGACTCTCGGGGAGTGGCAGGGGCTTTCAAATGGCTGACCTTGCCATTCGCAGCCCAATACATAACTACTAAGCCACCAAGGCTCATTCTTGTGGAGTAAATCATATAACTGCCTGACGCAAAATGACCAACAGTCCATTGCATCTCAGTAATACTTAAGATTTTGATCTTTATGCATTCCATTGTATCATTAATGACTTGAAAGGTTCTTTTGGGATTCATACTTTGTACATCCCACCTTTCGATCATTAATGGATATTTTCAGTAGTTTCTTCTCATTTTGAGTTGTGCCAATAACAAATGAAGATCTTGAAATTTTATTTCATCCAAATCATTCAGGTGAATTCTACTTTGGGGTGGCAACTCTTCCCCCTGTTGTATTTTAAGTGCCTTTCAGCCGCAGGGTCTCATCTGGCACTCTATCAGACAATGTTGTGCTGCTAGTCATGTGGTTCTTAGTGGCTATGTTTTAGACATGCTCTGCTTGTTCTTTCTTCACAATCTTGGTTTGGAAGTTCTGTTGAAACCTGGCCACTATGGATAACTCTACTGGTATTTCAAATACCGATAGCACCGTTTCCACCATTATAGCAACAAACAAATTACCACAGTAGACAAATTAACACACAAGTGGATAGAAGATATAAGGATGACAAAGAAGCATAAAAATTGCTCATCTCATTAGGGAATTACAAATGAAACTACTAGGGGCTAGTACAAAGATTGTGAGAAAATCCATGATCTTTCAACTTATTAGCCTACCACTTCCTATCTATTAAAATGTAAAATATCCAAAATACTGACAGTGCTAAATTTTTGTGAGGTTGTGAAATAGCAGGGACTCTGTTATTCATTGCTTGTGGAATACAAAGTTTCTTACAAAAATGGTACAGTTGGCAATATCTTGTAACGCTAAACATGAGCTTATCCTATGATCGAGCAGTTTCACTCAGAATTCACACAAATGAGTTGAAGATGTAAGTCTATGCAAAAATGTACACACAAATGTTCATGGCAGCTTTATTCATACTTTCCTAAAATTGGAAGCAAGCAAAATGTTTTTTAGTAGATAATTGGATAAACTTTGGAACATCTTTATAATGAAATATTATTCACTGATGAACATAAAAGAGCTCTCAAGTCATGTACAGATATAAAGGAACTTTAAATGAATATTGTTAAATGAAAGAAGTGGGTCTAAAATAA